TTTGAAAAAAATGGTACATCTATTATCTCGATTCTTTCACTTCACGTTTTAACCAGTTTTTTCTGATGTTCGGTTGTCTAGATCATCGCGTCACAAGTTAGCAATATATGATCTGGACGTCGAGTTTAAAAGAAAGGAACAAAGAAAGAAAACTCGCGCAGGACTACATAAATGCTGTGCTTCGCACTGCACTAATAAATATTTCGAAAGTTTCTTAAAAGTAAAATGTCATTTACAACATCACCACTTAAATTTTGCCTTCTCTCTTCCAAAACTCGCCCGTTTGTACTAACAATAAGTTCATGTCGAGATGATTTCGAAGATATTTTTTATTACATTTACGTGCACATTTACTAGACAAATTATCAAAAGTGATTGAACTCGTCAGCTTATGTAAAAATAGCACTAAACAATAAGTCATTGTTTTCCGTTCGTTGTTATTCTACCCATTCGATTTAGATAATGATATCACTCTTTATACTGTTTTTGATCAAAAAGATGTCAGAAATATATATTAAGTTCTACTCTATAAAATTTTTATTTGTATGAGCTACACCCTACTTATACCCTTAATATTTTTTTTTGTAACCTTACCCTACCCTGCCCTACGAGCTTTATACCCTAACCCTGCCCTGCCCTACGAGTTTTGTACCCTAGCCCTATCCTGCCCTGCAGGGCAGGGTAGGGTAGGGTAGGACAAGGTTGACCTTCAGGACTCTACTTGGCATGATCTGGTGTCATTTTCTGGTATATCTTCAACTGATTCACATTCATAATAATCTGATGGACTATAAATCAATAATATTAGATTTCAGACAATAAAATTATTTACAGAAATATTCTTACAGAAAATGACATTGTACAATTGGACTATATGAATATTTATTATCATCGGTTATATCATCAATCTCTTTTGATGAAACAATTATTTCATTATGATAAGTAAAACATGATGTACCAACGATTAATAAAAGTAGATTTATTAACAGGATCATTTCACTTAAAAAACCAAGAACTTTTTCTCATATTTTCTCATCTTTTTTTGATGGAAAATCAAAAGAGAAATTATTTTTCAATTAGAAAACCAAAATAACCAATAAAACCGAAAACAACTAGATGTCACTAGAAAACCTATAAAAAGCGATCAGAATTCAGAATGAATAGAAATTGAAAATCTGAGTCTCATATTGATCAAAATAGGATGATTCGAAATCATCATTAATTTAAAGATAATTGTTACCACTCTAGAATTCAAATCAGTTATAGAATTTTTCTTTCATATTCACTAATTAAAAAAAAGAAAATGCTGTAAAATCTACAAGAAAAAAGTTTCATTTTGATAAATCAGCTTGAACAAACATATAATCGATATTTTAAAAATAAATATTATGAATAGATTCTATTGTATTAGTACATCAATTTAACTCATCGAAATGTTCAATCGCAGTGTTTCTTTTACTTTGTAAATAATAATAATAATAATAGTGTATCTCAAAAGTCAATTTTTTTTTTTAGAGATATCACATAGTGGGTCACCAGAAAAAAATTGTAGGGGGCGGGGAGGGGGGTTGGCTAAACTTATTTTTTCACAAGATTTTACCTACCCAGGACATTATCGATCAGTCGGTTCTTGTCGGACGGATTATAATTCCGATGTAACATGGTTACCGGATTTGGTCGGTTAATTTCTGGGCACTGGTACAATTCGTCGCGCGACAATTCGTTGCAATCTGTTCGTCGCATATATAGGAGAGAATACATTAATTGAATTTAGATATTTATTGATCTTCATCTTGACTATTTTCAATGGCACGAATAAGTGTAAATGGAATGTGATTTGCTATACTGACTAAAGCTGCACTAATACCACCTGCAATTTGTTTCATACAATTTTTAATCACAGTTTGAAATTTAACTTTTGATGTTGTATCAAATCTTTTTTTGAAATCAATTAAATCTCCGTAAAGATCTTTTCTAATTTGATGAACGCTAATATGATGTAAAATTGAAACTAAATCTATTGCAAGTGATTCACCAAACTCTTAACATTCATCTAAGATAGTTGCAGCTCGATGTTGAATTTTTTATATTGAAATTCTAATTGCCCATTGTGCCTACATTAGAACGCGAGAAAGTCGATAATTCATGAGACTGAGTAAAAATTTTTCGTTAACATTGATTAAAAACCAAGAGAATTGACACATTTTATACGAAATCATGGGCAAAAACGTTTTAAAAGTTGACATTTTCTTGAGAAACGAAACAAAGTTTTCTCGTCAATGAAATATCGACAAACTTGTTGCCACTTTGTTGGATTGTCCTTGAGCATTTCTGATAAGAATTCTAGTATATTTATCTTGGATATTTGTTACTTTATTGGATGAAGTGATCAACAATTAAGAAATCGATTTTTTTTTCATGTATGATATCTTTCTGATAAATGAAATTGTTAGATTTTCTAAAATTTTCTCGATATGCAATAACATAATAGAAACTCATATATATATATATATATATAATTAGATTAAGGAGAAGAATTTTTATCGATATATTTTTTCCTTTAAAAAACGTTATTTGCCAATATAAGATTCTTGATTGAAATAATTCCACGATGACACTTCTAAGAATTAATTATAATTTAATTTTCACAAATTAATTTGAATTATATGAAAGTTTATCAGATAAATTTCGATTAAAATTGAATGATTCGAACATTGTTGTTAAAAGAATAATCAACAAAGAAAGTCTCTAGGAAAATTTCATCTATTTTTGCTTTTATCATATTTCATTAACAGATGTTAACATTATTAATAACAGAAAAATAGAAGTAATAGTAAACTTAAGAACAATGAATTGTTTTTGGAAACCATATTTTATCGAACAACTATGAAAGTATCAGTGAAAATAAATTGTTTGTTAATTATCATTTTTTTTGTTTTTATGTTATTAAATCTATCATTAGTCAATCATTGAAATTGAAAAAATAGAATAGAATGTTTTATCGAACTCTAATGAATGAAAACAAGAAAAAGAGAAAATAACTTTTGAAAGAAAAAGTGTCCTTTAAGATAGAAGGTTTTTATTTGTTTCTTGTTTATCTCAATAAACAAGTAATTGATTTTGTTTGACAGCCTGAAACTATTCATTATCAATATTCCTTTTTTCTACATTAACACTAAGAAAATTGGCGAAAAATTTGTTTATACGACAATTTCTTTATGACAATATTCAGTTTCGTCTAAGTGTCATAGAGCATTAACCAATTTGCAAAGATTTTCTCATAAAGCACACACACGCGCACACACACATTTATATATATATAGACATGGAAACAGATAGAAAGTATACAATACGGATTGTGAATGTCACACAAGCAAAAAAACTCTATTCTTTGTTGTCGGTTTTTTCCTCTTTTTCTTTATTATTCATCAATCGGAACAAGAAACGATCGGCAATTATTTTTGATCGTCTTGAAAAAAACAATAAAGAGAAAGATACTCACATGTCATTGTCATCGATAGACAGGTAGAGAAAGTTTCTCCTTCATGTCATTATCATCATCATCAATGAGAAACATATATATTTATCTTAATTTCTATTTCTGTGAGTCAACATATCTGAAAGCATCTTGTGCCGTTTGACACTTATCTCAGTATAGTTGCTTTAATCCTGTATCTCTGTGTGGCATCTATCCATTTCGCTGTCAGACACCCTACAGATGTTGTTTTTGTTGTCATCATCCACCGTGTCCTTTTCCTTTTCCCTCTCTTTCTCTTTTAATATTACGAAAGATCGACGGCTTCTTCGATGAGAGAATAGAAAATAAGGTAGAGCATTTTTGTTAGTTTGTCTTTTGATGATTGACACCTTTTTTTGTAAAATTGTTCGTTCAAATCGATGTTTTATCTTTTGTTCTTGTTCTTTGCTTGTTACTTTATCAGAGCATAAAATTTTCATAAGACAATTAAAAAATAGATTTTTCTCAAGAGTTCTATTTAAACGTTTCCTAAGAAACAATATTAGTTTTTGTTTATTATTATAATTGAAGTGATAAAATGACAACGAAAAAGCATTAACCGATCTGATATTATTTAGTGAGAGATATTTCTATCATCTTAATATATAAAATTAGATTCACATTTTTCCTTTTTCTTTTTCACGATCTGACAAAGAAAAAAATGACAAGAATTTGTTAACTTAATATTTTCATAGGAAATAACAAAAAAAAGGATAAGAAAAATGAAAGATCTTGTATGATGTTTATTTAGATAAGATTTTCTAGTTCCATTCAAATATCTAACACATGCTTTTCTCGCATTCCTTCTTTTTTTCTTCTACGTGCTAAACAAGTGTCGGAAGTCAGCTGTCGTTTATCGTTACGTCCTTAATCGAATCACTCTACTCATTTATTTCTCTATCTTGAACTTATGTTTTTCTTCGGTTGTTTTTTTTTCTACCTAATCTATATTTATTTATTTTTCTATCGATATAGAAGAAAAGAAAGGGAAAGGAAAGTAAAGAATCATCTTTTATCTTTTACTTATGAGTGTTGCAGAGAGTTATTCTAATAAAAAAAAGTACACAACAACTATAAGATACTTCAATCGTTTCATCAACCAATATAGATTCATTGAAAGCACAAGCAAATATCAATCGATTGAAGCGAGAAAAGAGAGCAAAAGGAAGAGAGAAAAAGAGATGCTATAGAATGGAACGATACTCATGGGAATGTCAAGTATCTTTTTTAGAATAAGAGCCAATGTCGGAAATATCATGTGTTACTTCAAATGAAGATTATTTTCAATTTATTGAAACAAACCCAAATGAAATAAATTCATCATCAATTGCAAATAATGAAAACTTTTCAAAAGAATATGATTTGAGTCAATCAAAAATTTCAACAAGTATCAATAATACACAAGAGAATTCAAATAAAAGTAAGTTTTACTTTCTGTATTAAATAAAAAGTAAAAGAACACAAATATAATTCAGGTGAAATTGTTGATTTAAAAACGAATAATAAAGAAATAATGCTGATGATGAACAATAATTGTGTAGGAAAGTGCATAAAAACAAGTGAAAACATATGTGATGTTTCATCATCAATGATGCGATCGATTTCTTCTGTTTATTGTCGATCATCAGTTGTTTCATCTAATCAATTGGATAATAAAGAACGACTGACACTTGATCGTCGTCGATCACTTCAAGGTTTTTCTTCAAGAAAAACTCTTTCAAATAATTCTCATCGTCGATCAACGCTTGTTTCACTTAATTTATCAAATTCAAATTCAGAAAATAACAAAAATAATATTAAAAAAGTAATTAGCGAACAATCAATTAATTTAATTAAAGAAAATTCTTCAAATTCTGATTTTAATGAATATTATGAAAAAGGGAAAACAAATATTAAATTAAACCTACCAATAAAATCAAAAAAAAATTCGTTTCATCGCAGTCGAAATCGAGATCGAGAAAAAGAAGAAATTCTGAAATCGCTTGAATCCGAAACAATTATTGGTGAATTTACATTACCAACAAATCCTCGAATAATTGTATCAATTGAACCACAATCGAATAAAAAAGAAAGTCTTTTAAAAGAAAATTGTTTTCATGATGATCAAATCTATTCACCTGAACAAATTAATAATCAATCTGAACAACGATCGATTAATGATTCAACATTAAAAAGTTCATCAACAATTGTTTCATATTTTATGGATTTATTTAAACCAAGTGATAATAAATTAGCTTTAAAATTATTCGGCAGTCGAAAAGGTCTTCTTAAAGAACGTTTAAGACAACAACGAGCTGGCCACTGTATTATTCATCCATGTTCAAATTTTCGGTAAATATCAATGCTCTCTTTTTCTCTTTCTTATTTTCATTTTAATTATTTAGGTTTTATTGGGATTTAATTATGCTAATATTATTAATAACAAATGTTATTGTTTTACCAGTAGCTATTGCTTTTTTTAGTGATGAAATAAATTCAGCACGGTGGATTAGTTTTAATGTTATTTCTGATGCTTTTTTTCTTTTTGATATAATAGTCAATTTTCGAACAGGTTTTTTATTTAAATCTATTTTTAAATCTAAAAAAGACACATTTCTTCTCAATTTCTATTAGGTGTATTAAGAAATGATTATATCGATGAAATTATTCTTGAACCACGATTAATAGCAAAAAATTATATAAAAACATGGTTTATGCTTGATTTAGCTAGTTCGCTTCCTGTTGACTATTTTTTCTTATTATTTGATACCGGTGAACATTCTGGAGGATATTCATCGATTGCACGTACGGGTCGTGCCATTAAAGTTCTTCGTCTTGTTAAATTACTCTCACTACTTCGATTACTTCGATTATCACGTCTTGTCAGATATATTCATCAATGGGAAGAGGTAAGATTAGAGTTTTCTTATTTTAATTTAACTTAATATTGGGCAGGAAAGATAATCTTATTAAAATAGCGACATCGAGTCAGATATCGATGGATAGAACTTCGCTTGGCCAATTTCCTTCGAGTTCATCTTCCCGTTTGGGTGAACGAAAATGTTTTTTTTTTCTTTTCTTTTTGTCTTCCTTGCTTTATTTATTGCATGAAATTTTATTTCTTAATTATTTCCTCAATATTAATCTTTATTTTAATCTGAATGCCCATGTCCATGTCCATGTCAATGTCAATGTCAATGTCAACGTCAAATGTTTATGTTTTTCTCTATTTATTTAATGCATGTCGAAATAGTTCTGTTAATAGAAAATCTTATTGATATTAGATAGAGTGAATAATAAGTACTAAAATACGGCATGTATTTCACATATTATATGTGCATGATCATAATTCGAAGGGATAGGAGAAAAAGATCTTCCTGCCCAATGGATTTATTTATTTTTTTTTGGTTTTTATTGTTTTTTTTCTTGAAAAAAAAAACATAAATAATAATAAAATTTATTTATTTTTAGTTTTTATCAATAGCAAGTATGGTTATGCGTATCCTTAATTTATTAGCATTAATCATATTATTGGCACATTGGAATGGATGTTTACAATTTATGATTCCGATGTTTCAAAATTTTCCATCCGATTGTTGGGTTGCACTTAATGCTCTACAAAATGCTCCATGGACAGAACAATATACAGTTGCTCTGTTTAAAGCACTTTCACATATGTTATGTATTGGTTACGGTCGATATCCACCTCAAAGTTATGTTGATATGTGGTTAACTATGCTTTCCATGGGTAGATTATTCTGCTAAGAATTTATTTATTTCTTTTTTCTTGGATATTATTTAGTTATTGGAGCCATGTGTTATGCAGTTACAATTGGACATGTTTCAGCACTTGTTCAAAGCTTCGATACATCGAGACGTTTATATAATGAAAAAGTAAGTTTGTGTATTTTATTGATTAATACAAACAGATAGGAGAATTAAATATTTAGTTTAAACAAGTTGAAGAATATATGGCATGGAGAAAATTACCACGAGAAATGCGAAATCGAATATCAGATTATTATGAACATCGTTATCAAGGAAAAATCTTTCATGAAGATTCAATTTTACAAGAACTTTCAGAAAGATTAAGATTGGTTTGTTTTTTCTTTCTATTGAAGAATAAATATTTTTTATTATTATAAAAGGATGTTGTTAATTATAATTGTCGGTCACTTGTATCATCAGTTCCATTTTTTTCAAATGCTGATCCAAATTTTGTATCGGATGTTGTGACAAAATTACGTTTCGAAGTATTTCAACCTGGTGATCAAATAATTCACGAAGGAACTATTGGTGATAAAATGTATTTTATACAAGAAGGTGTTGTTGATATTATTAAATCAGATGGGCAAGTTTTAACAACTTTATCAGATGGATCTTATTTTGGAGGTTTTTCATTTCTTTTTTTTTCTTAAACTCTCTCCTTAAATCATTATTTTCAATAGAAATATGTTTATTGACACGAGCTAAACGTACCGCTGGTGTTCGTTGTGTAACATATTGTAATTTATATTCATTAGATTCAAGTCAATTTGAAACCGTTCTTGAATCCTATCCATTAATGAGAAGAACAATTGAATCAGTTGCTGCTGAAAGACTTAATAAATTAGGAAAAAATCCTTCAATTATTTCAACACGGCATGATTTAAAACGTGATGCAGCTGTATTAAAAGATATAATTGATCGTGCAACACCTCAACCATCAAGTGACGAATCTTCATCATCATCGAAAGAAGACGCTAAATTATTGTCATCATCATTTAAGCAATTAAAACAAAGTCATTTGAAAAGCTCTTTTTCGTATATTCATGATCAATTAAATAAATCGCAAGATCAGTTACAAACTTCAAATAAAAAAAAGAAAAAAAAGTCTTCATTAGAAAAAAAAAATTTTTATCGTAGTTTTTTAGATGCACCAACATCGACATTAAATCTATCAAGAGAACACCATAAAAATCAACTTCGAAAATCTCCAACAAGTCCTTTATCTCTTTTTCGTAAAAGTCCTTCATCAACTACGTTTTTTTCTAATCAACCGTCTTCATAGTCATTTTTTCTTCGTTTTGTTTTTTATATCATTTTATTAATAAAACATTTTTTTAATATTTTGAAAAATAAATATCTATTTTAAATAAATAGATGTCATAGATATGACAACAAAATATTCATTTCTTAAGATAATTCAAACTTTAGAGTTATCAACATTATTTTCAATAATATTTTTTCTAGAATGTAATATAACAAAATTTGAAATGCTTTTTCGAATTCAATGAAAATAATTTTATTTAAAGAGTATTTATTTTAATTTCTAGATTACAAAAAAATTATCTTTCTTTTCTGTTTCTCTGTTAAATCTTTATTACAGTTTTTCTTCTCTAACTGAACAAAATAATAATAAATTGATCCAGGGTTGCCAGCTGTTCAGGTCCCAAATGGGGTACACTGATTTCGGAATGGGGTACACGTTAGGTACAACTCAGTTGTAAATGGGGTACATTCATGAGGTACGCAGTTTACATCTTTCACACTGGTCATCGGCTGCGGAAATCAATTTCGAAAACTATTTTCAATCAGGAAGGGGCATTCTCAGTTTTTCGTTTTACTATAAAGTCTAGCTTTCAAATTGAAATCTTTATTTTCTAATAAATATGTTCACAATAANAGCAAGGAATTGAGTACACATAAGAAATAATTTCGTACATTTCAATACACATTGGTTTCGACTTTACAAGAAGAAAAGCCCAAAATTGATCAGACCGAAATTCCACTTCTCTTTCATGATTTTCGGTCGTCGGTTTGTGAATGAGATTATCTTCATCACGAAACTTGTTGCATATGTCATTGTTGAATTCTTCATAAACATGACCATTAGCAGCCAACCAATATAATTGACGCTTCACATCTTTATCAATAGTAAATGTCGGATAAAGAGACAGAACTTTTCTTAGTTTTAACCAAAATATGGATGATAGTAGTCGTAACATTGAAAAATGCAGATGGGGTACAAAATGCGTACCTCAGAGGTACAATTTTTTTTGAGGTACAAAAGGCTCAAATGGGGCACTGTACCCCCAAATGGGGTACGGCTGGCAACCCTGAATTGGTCTCTTTATAAAATAGGATATATTGTATACCCAACCGAAGATAGAAATATAGTGAAAGAAATCGTATAAATATCACTTTAATTATGTTGATATTCTTATGATTGTACCGTATAAACCAACAGATGATAATGTTTGTACTATATTATATTGTTTAATTCGTATTAAATGTTGAGAAAAAAAAAGGAATTATGTTTGTTTCTTTTTTTCTGCTTTTTGATTATTGCGTCAATTGATATAAATAATATTTAATTTATTTTTGTTTTTAGAGCTCTTTTGAAATAATTAACTTTTCTAAATAAATTTTGCTTTATAAAATATTTGTAAATTAAATTTGAGACTTAGTAAAATGATGAATTCAAATGAAACAAATGAACAATGTTGTTTAAGTCCTCTTGATTCAGTTCGTTTCATCATGGAACGAGCTCGACATGTTTCAATAAATTCATCTTCTCTTAGAAAATTAGCTGATATGTTTTTTTTTTCAAATTTTGATCGAATAGAATTTTTCTTTTTATTTAAATTCGAAAATATACCATAGTTAAAAGATTATCTTAATGATTATGATTTCCATTTATTTTTATATAGTGGACACCTTCGTATAATGGATGTTTTTTTTCTAAGTCTCAATAACTATATTTTGTTGATCATGGAACTTTCAATCGATGTCAACAGTCGTTGAGTTTATATTTTGTAAAAACGAAAATGTGTGAGGAGAGATGTCATAACACACATCATGATTCTTTAGTTGATAGCTATTAGTTATGACATCATCATGTATGTGTATTTCATGTATAACACTGTTTATGATATTACTTCACTTAGTATTCTTATTCGAAAGTAATTGATTAAATTCATTATTTGTTTTTGTGATTGCCCAAATAAAAATCTTTTTTATGATAAATAGAAGAGAATTTTCATTCTCCGATAGATGTTCTTTATTAAATCAATAAACTATGTTAAAAACTACATTTTTTTAAAATTCACCGGAACACGTGAAAATAGATATCGTTCAACATCTTATGAAATTGAATCAGTTTCACGTGAACAATGTTGAGCACGTGCTGGTGTTTGAGTTGGACCAGTTTGAATTAAATGTTGTTGAGCATTTTCTTCTCGAATTGGACCAAGTTGAAGTGGCTGTTCTTCATCACCTTGTATTTGTAATGGTTGAATCTGTGGATTCGACGAACAAACCCCTCGGAACTGTATTTGTAAAGTATGAAATAATTTTTCTAAACATTTGAATTCTCTAGAAAAATTAGTGTTAAGAGTAAAAAAAAGATTTATTGAGTAACATACTCTCTGTTGTGCAAAAATGCTGATGCATTCATTGCAAAGCGTCGACCTGTAAAGTACAAAACAACACGAGATAATGATGATGTTTAAAACTTTTTTGTATTACGCCATTGTCAATTAACAATTGATTATCACCCGTATAACATAAGCACGTCAATTTCAAATTACTTTTGGTATAATTAATCTGGATTTTATGTTGCTCATTTTTACGATATTCGAAGAATTGACTAGATGTCTAAAATAGAATATAAATATGGTGTTTCATTTGATATGTTTCTTACGTTGTTCATGCCTTCAACACGAAATCCTGAGTATACCATGTACCAATGGAACGGCGTCAATAAATGTTCAGCCGGACATTGATATTTTTGCAAGTATCGTTCATGTACAAATGGAAGATAAGGATAATCACTCATCTTATCTTAAAAAAAAGAGAAACGAAATCTTTGATATTTTAAAGATTATTTTAATGTAGTTCATTCAAAACAATGATCTTTCTTGCAGAGATGCCAACAGGCCACTTTTTCCGGTCTGACCTGGCCTGTTACGACCAGGCCAGGCCAATCGGTTGCCTGGCCTGACACGATTGAGCCTAGCCTGGTGGCTGGCCTGTCCTACAGGCATACATGAAACCAAAACAGTTATGTGTATTTTTATAACATATTCATTAGGTTCAATTTTGGTCATGATGTTGAGGATTAATGTGATTATTTCTTTCTTTTCTTAATAGTAATAATATTAAAAAGTTGTTTTATATATTAGAAAATAAAAACTCTCTGAATTAACACCACTAGCATTTCACATAAGAAACAGCCACTATTAAACAATATTATAAATATGAACTGTTATAAAGTAATAAAAGATTAAAATGCATTGACTACTTTGTCTTCGTTTCTCTCATTTAGCTTTTTTATTGTACCTTTAATGGGGCATGATAATCGTGGGAGTAAATTCAATCCAAGCATTATTCGCTTTCTTTTTTTTCTGAATTTGCAAATAGATCATGACGATACTTACCCATGTAGCCGATAATGTAAAATAATGGTAAAATTTTCCAATAATCCATTGTTTTCTAATGAATTATTTCAAATTTTACCATTATTTCCCTGCAATGTATTATAAATTATATCCCATGTAATAAAAACCGCATGAAAATCGGCGGTTAACCGCGGTTTTACCGGTCCGGTTACCAGCTCTCATTACCGCAGAACGGATAAATACCGCGGTTTACCACAAAAAATGAACTGGCATTTACCGCGGTTACCGCTAAAAAAAGCGGTTAACCAGTTCATCTATAATTTTTGACAGAAAAAGTCTTCCAAATCATCAATTAAACTATTTTAAAGATCCTTTTTTTTACTTTTACATGTGATAGACATGCGCAAAAAAACGCCGGTTTACCGCGGTTTTACCGGTCCGGTTACCGGCTCCCATTACCGCAGAACGGATAAATACCGCGGTTTACCGCAAAAATTGATCCGGTATTCTCAACATGGGATTGCATCAAAATCTAAAAATATAATGGAATCTAATTAATTAAAAATTTTCACGCTTTCAATGCATTAGATCCCATTATATTTTTAGATTTTGATGTATTATAATTTATAATGCATTGCAGGGAAATAATGGTAAACTTTGAAATAATTCATTAAAAAACAATGGATTATTGGAAAATTATCCTATTATTTGGAAGATAGTGCATGAAATAGGTTGCATTTTAATTACATTATGCAGATTATTTGTGAAAATAATGGAAAATAATGTCTGTTATTTTACATTATCGGCTACATGGGTAATACAGAATTCAGCAGATAAAATCATTCCAAGTCAATTTTGAGCAGGCTAGACAGGTTAGCCTGGCCTGGCAGGCGAGCAGGCCAGGCTGACATCTCTGCTTTCTTAGATTCGAATTATCACCAAAAACTGCACGGACGAAGATAGCAGATGAAAATTTCATGTTTGAATGACTTTTCTTGCTGATGCATCTCCCTTTATATGCAAGCTATCGGACAGTATCGAAGAAAGTAATTCGAACGAATAGTCCATTTAAACACTAGATAGAATTGCATTTACAAAAACGAAAATCTGAAACAGACTATAAATAAAGTAACATGATTGGTGTTGCTACTTGGAAACAGGATTATGTTTCCCATTCTAGCTTTAATTCGCATAGTCGCAGAATAACAATTTATCGAAAACTAAAGTGGTGCTAATGAACTGATTAATTAAGTATAGATGTCACAATGTGTATAGTTATATGTACATCATGAATCGTTTTAGTCGTCGATAAATGTTTCATTTCTTGTCTAGTGTGTTTCGGATCGAACAATATTTCGAAAGAAAAGAAAAAGTACTACATGATTTCTAACTATTATAGGATGGTCAACTTATGAAAGAGAAAACGTCTAGTGTACATACATGAACAAATATTCAGGGTAAAATGGAAATTTCTAGAACGAACTATCAGGGCAAATGATGTCATTGTTATATGCCTTGATTTGGGACTAGAAACATTTAAAGATAACAATATAAGATTCGAAATGATAAATTTATTTTCTTTTTGTTCTTTCACTTTGAAAAAGAAAAAGTGTAGAGAGAGACTAAGTTATTTAATATATTATTATGATCAAGATTGAATAAAATGGAACAAAAATTTCTTTAAATTCGGCTTCAACAGATCCATTTAATTGTTCACGTTGTTCCTCTGATATCGAACCATCTCATCCATGGGTTCGTTATGTTGATGGTGATGCTGCAGCAGCATCAATATTTGGTTTAGTAATCCTTATCTTAATATTAGCTATTCCAATCAGTATGCTTGTTATAGATGCTCGTTATCGTGATCTATTATATTGTTCAATTGAACCTCATATAAGTCGTTTTTTAATTGTTCACGGATCTGTTTTAATCATATGGATTATTCTAACAATTATGCTATCAATAATGAGAATGTTTTCTGCTTATACACGTTCGATAATATCAGTTATTTGTGTTGTTATGTTACGCATTACAATAATTGTTAGACAAATATTTTCAATAGTTCGGTTGATTGTTGGAAGTTTTTGCACATTTAGCATAAGAAATCGAGCGGAATTTATAATTAAATATCCTATTAATTTTCAATTTTATTCTCATTGAACATTATACCAATTTACTTTTGCTTATTTAATTGTATTGTTTGTTTCTATTGCATTACAAATTTGTTGTTGACGTTTTCAAAGCATGTCGTGCCAAACAACAAAATAAATCGATGAACATAATTTGTATAACATATTGTACATTTTAGAATGAAAAATATTTATTCTATTAAAAAATTGCAATACTGATTGAAAAGTTTCATAGACAACTGCTGTTTCAAGTTGAAAACTTACATATATTTTTGTGCCGAAGTCTGATGCTACTTCAGCCAAATGTATCATTGAATAATTTTAACAAATGGAAAAAGATTTTCTGCAATTCATCAGGAAAAAATCTTTGAAAATAATTATTTAAAATTTGATTTTGCATGTTCTATTTGAAGATAAATAACAATTCGATTATACATCATTCATATTTATTTAAATCTTTTCTAGTTAAATGTCTTCTATAATCAATTGAATCAAGAAATATTTGATAATATTTTTAAACAACGATTTAATCGTTTATTTAAATTATAAAATTCATTATAATGATCACAATGATACAAACCATCTGCACGAAGATCTTCAACTTGTTTTTCGTTTATATTTGATTTAAAAAAAATAATATATTGTAAATTAAACAGAAGTTTTAATTATCGAACCTCTGAATCCAACTGAAGAAGTGAACGTGGATAAACGATAATTGATTTGTAATTGAAATGAAGTTTTTATTCTATGAAGACACGTTCAAATAATCATTGATATGAACTTAAATTTAACTAGATGGTATTAGAGTTTCACTCGTATACGAAATGCAATGCGAAGCAGGAATCTGGATCCACCAAAAATCTTAAATCCATTTTATGTCGACATATTGAAATTCATCACTGAGAAAACTCTATTCGTACTTAGCGATACATTCTTTAAAGATTGATTGCGATTGATCGATTAATTATCTCTATGATTCATTATCTTAGATCAGCTGTGAACGAATAGACTATAGCAGCTAACATATATGTTGATGACGTCATTTTAATCATCTCTTGATAAATTTCTTTCATTTTCGTCATTTTGGAACCACATTTGTGAACGAACGGAACTTCAGATTGAAGGTTCGAAAACAGGTGTAATAAATTCAATCGTGATACTTCTACCTTGTGGTTAAACGAGGTTTTTATCATTTTCGGTTCTCGAGATCATTGTCATACTTACTAAATTGTTTAACAACGAAATCAAGTGAACGTCTATCAAATGTTAGCCAAAATGTGAAATCTTTGTTTGTCAAAAATTACAAAAACTCTTTGCAAAATAAAAACTGAAAATCTTCATTGAAACAGAATCGTTAATATGAATAATATTATCATATTAGGAAAACATAAAATCAAGAGAAAGATAATCTGCTAATATTGGTCATAAGTTTTGATCAACAGTTTTGATATAATTTTTTTTTTATTTCAAATTAAAGCCGATTTTATTTTCTACTAGAGTTTCAATCATATTTTTGCTTGTTTTCTTCGATTTAGAAGTCAAGAAGATGACATTTTCTCACATTCTTTTATATGACAATTTGAGAATATTTTTCAACATTCGTTTTAAATATCTTTTCATTTTAATAAAGAAATAAACTCAAACAAGACAATGCAAAAATTATTATTTACAGGTCATATAACAATAAAAGGTCTTGCATTTGTGTCACTCATGATAGTATTGAAAACTGTACGGTGAACATGTGTCGTTACTCTATATATTCAGTCATTCCTCTGCTTTGCCCGTACGTCTACAGATAACTGATTGATTTAAATGTACTGAACATGTTTATTTTTGCATGTGCTTTTTAAAATGAATAATTACAATTTTATATTCGAAAAATATAAACCGAAAGAACACATAATCATAAAATTACATACTTATGTCAAGAAAATTATGTCGTCTTATGAGTGGTTGCATGGCAAACAACAAGAATAGTATTACTCTAACTCTTAATCATTACAATAAGAGAATTCCATTAGATTTTAAGAACCTTGATAATATGTCAGTATATATTCTCCCACTTACGCTAGAGATGTTTGTGAGCTTCATCTTTTGAATAAATATATATTATAATAGAACGATACTGTTTGCTATAACGTATCACAATGCGTTAGAAGGGAATGTGTCAGACATTTTAATCTTCATTTTGTGCCGTAATTTATGATAGTGATTTAAACAGATTCCTCTCCATTATATCTGATAATAAGCATTTCTATATCAAAAATGTTTTCGACTTCATCTAATGTTAATTGCACACACTATTTATCTCTAAAAATAGGTTACGGTTCCTTGGTCTATTGTTAATATTACTTTAACAAACATCTTTTTCTATACTATTACTTAGAACATATACTTGCTTTTTTATTGTAATATTATTTCGATTTTTTTCTGAAGTGTATGCACAGACATAGCATATTGTCACTTGTGACAATGTGCCATCCAATGACTATTTGCAATCATAATTTTTTATTACGTCCATCGCTGTTTTAACGCATTAATTCCATGTAAATCAATCTGCTTTAGTTCATATTTTATTTAAATAATAATTTAATAATAGTCAGTGTATTTTAGCACGAGGAGAATAGTCTTTTATATGTTCAGGAAATTGTGGTTTTCTCGGAGAAAAATTGTCGAAATATCCAGAAAATTCTACTTTTGTACATAAATATACACAATTCATTTTTGCACAATTACTACGTGTTGTATTTCTTCGAAAATTGCGTGTCACTTTTTTCAATAGTTCATATTGCATAGAAACACGAACATCAAATGGTAGACATGTTTTGGTATCTAATAAGAATTGTGCATGATAATCTATGCAACTATGAATAAGATCAAGTTCTTTAAGATAAGGATATTTAATGATTGATAAATCTTGATTTTCATTCTTTGATTTTCTAAATTGCTTATTAATTTGTCGTTTTTCATTACATACACATAATTTTTCCATCAATGGAAATGATTGAGCAATTCGAAGAAAAAATTCATGTTCAAAAGGATGTTCGTCAAATAATGAAACTTTACGAACATATTTAAATATTCCACCTGGAAAATTATTTGTTATATCATCGTAATAGTTCAGTTTATATGGATATGAATAAATATGGCAATGCCCTTTTTTATCTGTTGAAAAATAATCAGCACAGTAGATAATTTATTTGTTGCAAAAATCTCTGAATGTATTTTGAATATTTTCATTTGATGGCAAATTAATTTGATTATAAAAGCGACTTGATGAACGAATATTAAACGTGAAATTATTTAATCGTGACATATGATTAATAATATTTATCTTCAAATCATTACCATCAAAAAATGTTTTTCTATCACCAACAATAAGACATAAATTAAGTTTTTCTAAATTCAACATTCGACGGAAAAGTGGTAATATTAATTCATCATAAGCACATGTTTCTATATCACAATGCAGCGAAACGCATTTTAAAGTAGGCATTTTTTCCTAGAAGAACAAAACAATATTATTAATTCAATTAAATTGGATATTATTTTTGAAAAATATAATCTACCTTATTATTGATTGTGAGAGGCGAAGCAGAAATGAAAGAAATATTAGCAGAAAGTGTATGAAGTTGATTGAAACGACCATCAAGTAAATAAAGACAATCATTAAAATTCTCCAAGTAGACATGTAATTTTAACAGATTTGTAGAGATAACAGTTAAAGGTGAAGTGAAAAATGATAATCGTTGATGATACAATAACGATGGACCAAAATTTAAATATTGTAAATTAGTGAAGGTAGTAAAGATATGTATAAATATAATTGTATTATCATCTACTGGTAAACTTTGTATTTTATTTGTACTTATGTCGATAACAAGTTCTAAAATTTGATTTTTCAAGGTACAAATTAAAGAAGTTTCATCTAAACAATGAAACCATTAGAAATTCATTAAGAAATATTATACTAGATTTCATATGATTCCTTAAATCTAAACATGCATACTTTATTCATTTTTCAATAACGTTGTAATTTACGTGTGATTTTTCTCTTTCCTCTTACTTAATTGATTACATTACATGATAAATGTTATATTATATCAGTCATTAATCCTAATAATCTATTTTATTGTACATTTTCTTTTTCAAAAGTTTGTTTTTAAGTTTATACTGAAGACAATATCGAAGCTTTTCATTTTCATTCATTTTCTATAAATAATTTCTTATTTTTCGTGGAAAATGATCTCTTTAATAACAACTTTTCTTATCTTCATACTAATAAATACGAATTAAACGCCTGTAATCATCTTATAAATGAAATTTTATTCATAAATTTTCTTGGCTCATAGTCTTAATGTGTCTATAATTGGAAGAATCAAAGTAGCATGTCTTACCAGTAAAAAGACCTATAGCGGTTTCTGCTTGAATATTATATAAACTAATTCCATATAAATTAGGATAATTTGTAGCACGTAGAATACGTTCGATTGATAGTGATTCTAGGCCAAGCCATTTAATCTTTTGATGAATTTTAGGTAAAATATGTGAACAAAATCGATCAAGTATTGGATCAGGTAATGAATATACAAAACCATTCGATGAAGATATCAATAGGGTCAAATTATTTGTAAAAACAGAATCCTGTGCAATTCTATTTAATCGTTTATGGACACCTACTAAAGAATAAAGTACTTCCATATTAGCCAGTTTTTTTAAAATAATCATAAGAACTTCATCGGGTAAATCATTCAATTGAACACAAGAATATTCCATATTTATCTATAGCGATATATATTTTGATTAACTGTTCAATGTCAATATTTATATCGACATAATCATATGTTCTGTTTGACCGATGTCGTCTATGTAAACAATGACACATTATCTAAACTGACGATGAATGAATAGATAATTGATCAAATAACATTTTTTTCTCTCTGTTTTTATTCAACGTATGATTTTATAGGTGGATAAACAGATAGAATTTTTTTTTCTGAAAATGAAAATCAATTTCCTATTTAAAGAGCGGGACAGGATTGTTAGCAAAGTCGGCCCTATTTGAAAACTAATAGCAAACGTGCCTCATTCTAGATATTTTCAAAGATAATTCGTTACACTTTCAAGACACCATTTTACTCTTTTTACTGACGAGGGGAGGTGTTCGAACTCTTTAAAAGCTTTTGATCTCATCTTTTGGCTATAAGTAGGTTCCAGTGAGCCTAAGAAAACTCTAAAAGCATTCATGGTCACTGCTCTTCCATTTCGGGATACGATCAAATGTATGCTAAAATAATAGAATTTTGATTTTATTAGCAGTTATCATAGTTTACGATGAGCGGGGGGAGCGGGGGAATTTACCCCCGCTCAATTGCTTTTGCGTTATAGCTTTCTCCTTGAGAATTTTCTTTGCGACTTTGTAGACGATTTTAATTTATTTGTAGACTGAATAAAGGCTACTAAAGGCAATCATCTAGTTTCTCTTTTATACCAATTCATTTTCTCTTTAGGTTCAAACTATTTTTTACATTGATCTATTTTCATTTAAATGATATTGTTCAAAACTTTTTCATGCGTCCTGGAAGAGCAAAAGCTCGCAATGTCAATATGTACACTCGAAACAATTATGACGATAGCGATGATGAGCGATAGACAAACCATACAATAATTTTTCGAAGAACATTAACTTTGAAATTAGAAGTTATGAATGTAAAAAGTTACGACTAGAGAAACAAATTTTTTCTCGTTAATCTTTTTTTTCACATATTTATTTACAAGAAAGCAGCAAAAAAGATTTTTTTAATTGAATAAGAAAGTCTTACAAAATTCTAGCTAATAATATATTTTTTCCTGAAAAAACAAAAAAAAAATGTTTCTCTCTAGTTTTGGGAGACTTTCTCTTTCAAATCTTCCCCCCGCTAACCAAAAACAAACGAAAACTATGGCAGTTATGACCGATTTCAACCTAGCTAAAGGCCCCCTTCAGATGGCTTTCACATAAACTATTTATAGTTCTATATAAAAGACTCATATTCAACTAGATATGATTCTAGTTAGAATCAAAAACGTTTTTGTTCTTTCTCTTCTATAGAAAAAGAAATCCGAAATATTAAAAAAGTCATCTGATAAGGCCTTTTAGCAAGGCCGGAATCGGCCATGACTGCTAATAAAATAAGAATTATTGGAATAGTATATTGTGTTCGAAGAACATATGTCGCACACCAATATCTAGAATAAAAGAATATAAACAAGGAAAATAAATATAACAAACTTACTCATCAATATTGCATTCATTTTTGGCTTCAATCTTTGGAACAGTTGAAATTGAACGTGTTTGATTAACACGTTGATAAAGTGGTGCTTCTTCAACACAAACTCTGAAAGAAAAACATCATAATTCTACTTCAATTGCCTGTTTTTTTTAGTTAATATATCGATCAAGAGTATTATTTAAAGCTAATGTACTATCAACCATTTCCAATTGATCATCAGTAAATTGTAATGGATTGATATATTCTGCAACAACAGGATATTCATCAAATACGTTAATACTCCAAACTTCAGTTACTTTAAAATTTTCCTTTTCTAATTCAGTATGTTCAGTTAATTCTGTATCATTTAAATGCTTACCAAAATGATCATATATAAGAATAAGACCAGCTAAATCATGTGACATTGATGGTAAACATCTTTCAACAATATTAAATAAAGCTTTATCTGGTGCTTGATTAGCAATAACAAGCGCATCTAAATTATATATTTTTTAAATCTATCAATAGCTGGTGATAATATTTTCGAATAATGTGTATTATTGTCTAAACCATTTATATCAACATTAATAACAACAATCGGCTTAACACGACCAAGATGATGACGTGAGAATTTTTCAAATTATTTTAATTCCACTAAATGATAAAAATCTCTTGAATGACTTTTATGTGTTAAACAATCATATTTAGCTGACCTAATTGATACATTTGTTGGGCCACCAGTACCAATTAAACCTGTTTCATCAATTATTGATTAAGTATAAACATTATAAAAGAAAAAGAAAATAAATATTAGAATTTTAGCATGGTTTATATCGATGACATGTAGCTATTGATGTTGTCTGTGATTCAAGTGAGCTATTTTCATTATACAAATGCATTATCAATGGTGCTTGGCCTTTAGCTAATGATCGACCACTACTAATTTTTGATGTTGTATCTTGTGTTAAATTAAAAAAAACACAATCATTACCAAATATTCTAGCTAAATCTTAGATATATTTTAATGAAGCAGTAGTAAAATGTGAATCTAAAAAGCAAGAAATTTGTTTTTTTAATTATAGATATTCAAGAGATATAACTAACCTTTATGTTTTGATGACTGTTCAATTCCTTGTAATTTCTGAAGACGAACAGAAACAGTTACAACATGTTTTTGCCATCTTGAGATAATGCACGATTATGTAAAAGACTAAGGATTAAAAAAAAATTATATTTTTGATTTTTATACATATTTTTCTTACCGATAATAAAGTGATGATTTTCAAATTTCATAACCTCGTTCTTTTATTTTATCTTTAAGATCATCTAATGATGCATAGGCTTTGTCTTTATTATCGGTTGCATGGCCAACTCAAGCAATTTCAGTAATAATTTGTAAAAAATCAGGACAATCTTCTTCAATTATGCACTTTAATGCGATATTTCCTCTTAGTAGCAATTCGCGAGTACATCTGTATATTTTATTCAAAAACGTTTTGTGTAATGCCGTTGCTCGAATGTTTACTAAATCTGTTCTTCTAATTCCGAAAATAGATCAATGTCAAATGTTTCAATTCAATATATCATCATTTTTTATTATTTTCTTTTTACGATAATCAATTTATATATCTATTATTTAGTTTTTTAACAAATTGAATCGATATGTTTGTAAAGTGATGTCCATCTTATTATTTCATTTTAACAAACAAACATATGGTTAGTTTTAATTGGTTTCATAGAATAGAATTACGTGTGTTACTCTGTTTGTGGGTGAATAATTATAATTGATAAATGAATTTCTATTTTTAATAATTCTCTAATCAAATAGTTTTTATTTTATTTCCATGGTAGAATTCATATCTATGAAGAATAAATGTTTTTCTTTATAAATTATTTCAATAAACTTAATCGATAATCTATTTTTATATTAAATAATAATTAGAAATGTAAAAATATTAATAGTGCTATTGCTTTTCATTTTTAAGATTAAATAAAGGAAAAAAAGCATTTTTGCTCTGTAACAAAAAATAATTGTCAGAAAAATGTTTTCGTTTATTTCAATAAGGCAATGTCCTATTGTTGATCTGTATATGTTATGTTGAACTAGAAACAAGGAGACAAATAAATAAACGCGGAAACATTCGGATTCGCATCCGATTGTTATGTGTACTGCAAAAACTGAGTCGATTTATGTATGTTGTGAATAATTCTGAGAAACAATTTACTTTTTGAAAAAATCCCTGTACCCCTCCTCCCCGTCAGGGATGATCTGGTCAATAATGACAATTTTTTCGATAACTCAGCCATTTCTTGACGAATCCTTCTCATCTTTGAACTTGACTGAGATATTGATGAGATCATTCTGTGTACAAAATTTCATGACAATTTAATGAGACTTTCAAGAGTTATCGTGTTAACGGTCGGACTGAGTACACAAAAAGCACTAATTCACGGAACACAAGATGAACCGACTTTGCATTTGCCGAAGTTCAATTTCAACAGTATCCAGTTTCATTGCGAGACCTATGGCATTGTTAAATAAAAGGGACCACTCGGTCGGGCTATCAATAGCAGAACACTAGAAAACGAGCATCATTGAGTAGCTTCTGTATATTATGCTGCTTGTTTTTCACTTGTAACAGTTATAAAGGTAAAATAGATCGCGTAACTTATTGTATATTATGCATATAAAAAAAATATGAATGATTTCATCTGACACACTGTAAAAAAAAAAAGAACTCTACAGAACCTCGAAAAAGGTTCGGTAAAGTTCTTTTTCTTAGAGTGCAGACACACTCGAAAACAATAGACTAGCCTTACCCTTCGAATGAACACCTAGCAACCTTTTCAACGAATGGGGATATAGCCATCGATATCACTATTTATGATATGTACTCTTCGACGCGCCTATGGGTATCTCTCTTTATATAGTGTCTATTGTCTTTATGTTGTTCTATTCAATCAAATTTTTCCATCATCAGTATCCAATGAAAAGAAATAGTGTTCATCACCACCGAGAAATAATTCATTCATACTCACAATGTTTTGCCTGATATGTCCACCTTAACTTGAATAATCTGATAAAGTGGAATACATAAGTGAAAATAACAACATTCCTTTACAAATGTGTAACTGTTTATTTGTGGAATAAAATGCCTTGATATTGTAAAACTATTATTCATAAACATGTGCAAAATTAAAAGAATTCAATATATTAAATCCAACAGTTCAGATGATACACATGTATTAAAAGATATAGTTGATCGTGTAACGTCTCAATCATCAAACGATGACCTATGTCGCCTCTTTTTTAACAACTGCACCACAGTTACACGCACAGTCAATTTTACGTAGAAGTTTCATCGTAATGAAATATGGGGAATCTTCATTATTTTACAAACTGAAACATAGTCATGTGAAAATTCATTAACGTTTATGACCAATTGAATAAGTCAAATGGGTTTTTACAAACTTTAAATAAGAAAACAATCAACTAACATCAGCATTAAATGTAGCAAGAGAACACAATAAAAGTCAACTTCGAAAATCTCCAACAAGTCCTTTATCCCTTTTTTCGCAAAGTCCTTCATCAACTACATTTTTTTCTAATCAACCGTCTTCATAGTCTCTGTTTTTCTTCTTTTTTTTTATATCATTTTATTAATAGAATATTTTTTTAATATTTTGAAACATAAATATCTATTTCAAGTAAATAGATGGCATAAATTGACAATCAAATCTTTAGTAGAATGTATTTTATTAGTAAAATATTATTTCGTTTGTTGGAATAATATCGTCACTAGTTAAATTTTTCTTATGATCGAGATCAAAGTTCGTGTTTAATGAGTTCGATAAAACAAAAAACACTATAGTTTTTATTTTTAATATGAAAAAATTGGATTTTTATATTTTGAATCTGAATGTCATAATACTGACCAATTGATCTTTGTATGAAATATTTGCAAACTTGCTATGCATACTGAATTAGGTATGCTGGCTAGGTATACTGTATATATATATATGTAAAGATAGGATCTTATAGATGTCACTTTTATAGTATTGATCTGCTTACGATTGCACAGGAGAAACAAACATATATATATGGACGTTTAGATACCTTTGATTTCTCATTCAATATAGAAAGTAGCTAGTAACATTTGTATGTTTCGAATTTATATTAATAACTATTAATTTAGATTAGTTATTAACTAATAAAAAAATTCGTCTAATTGAAATCGATATTTTTCCTCATTAAAGAAACAAACTAGATAAATTTTCTTTTTAGTTAAATGTTTGTTTTTTCTATTTGAGATTTAGTAAAATGATGAATTCAAATGAAACAAATGAACAATGTTGTTTAAGTCCTCTCGATTCAGCCCGTTTCATCATGGAACGAGCTCGGCATGTTTCAATAAATTCATCTTCTCTTAGAAAATTGGCTGATACGGTTTATTAGTTTTTTTTAAATTTTATTGCAAAAAAGGACGTGATCATTTTCTAATTAAGATTTCATGTGCAATGATGGATGGAGAATGTACGCCAGATGATTGGATTGGATCAGATGTTGGTCCCCCAAAAGGGAATGATCAATCAACAATTGATTGGTTTTAATAGGAAAAAATGATTTAGTCAATATTTATGAAGTTCTTTTTTTTTTGAAGGATATTTTTGGCAAGTACATTAAATTTTTCATTTTGGACTGATGATAATCAAAATGAATCTTATTGTCGAAAATATAAAAAGAATATTTATTATGGCTATTATGCATTGTGTGTCGCGATAAATCAAGCATTAGATGTAACAAATTTCAAATTTCTATTTCTTGTGTTTTTCTATTTATCTAAATAATTAAAAGGAAGGAATTGATATAATCAATGCTGAATATTATTCTAAATTAACACTTGATCAAATAAAATATATATTTCAATCAACAGAAAATTCATCTGAATTACCAATGTTAAATGAAAGATTAAATATTTTACGAGAAACTGGATCCATACTTCTTAAAGTTAATATATAGTTTTTTTTTAATTTTCAAAATTAATTTTTAATTAAAAGGAATATGATGGACATTTCTCTCGATGTATTGAACAAAGTGGTGGAAGTGCTGTAGATCTTGTTGAATTAATTGTTAAAAAGTTTCCTGCATATAGAGATGAAGCTGTTTATGATGGACAAAAAGGTTTCAATATTATTTTTTTTATTTAATATTAGTAACTTTCTTTTCTTTATTAGTAAGTTTTTATAAACGAGCCCAAATATTAGTTGCTGATATTTGGGGATGTTTTAATGGTCACGGTTTTGGTCATTTTACTGACATGGTCTGTTTAATTACATTTTCTGTTTTATTTTCATGAGCATACTTGTTTTTTATTAAAACTTAGGATGGGTTAACAATGTTTGCTGATTATCGTGTTCCACAAGTTTTATCTCATGAAGGTGTTCTAATTTATTCAAATGAATTAAAATGTCGACTTGAAAGAAAAGAAGAAATTCCTTTTGGCGATCGAGATGAATGTGAAATTCGTGCTGCTTCAATCTTAGCTGTTCAGCTTCTTGTTAATCAAGCAAATGAAAAAATTCCTTTAGAAAAAGATACAGGAGATGGAGGACAACGATTAAATGCGCCACTTGTTGATGTTTATTTATGGCGAAGAAGACGACAATTCACTGATCTATATAAACAAACACCTTTTCATCGAACAAGATCAATTTTTTACTAAAATCTAATTTTCTTCATGAATTCTTTTTGTTCAACTCATTATTCGAATCAAATAATTAAAGGGTTAATTAAGAAAGAAAAAAAGATTTCATCGTTTCGTTTGATTGAAGATCAACAAAAATCATAGATTTTTATTTTAGCAATAACAGAAAAGAAAATATTATTTTGTATCCGGTAATCTTTCTTGATTGCAAACATTCTAAATGTCGAAAAAGTAAATAAGTAAACAAGTTGTAAAGAATCAAAGATGCAAATACTTGCCAATTTTATTCTATTTAATTCTTTGTTCATATCTGTTTCTGTGATATTATCCAAATGGATCATTTATAAATCAACCTTCTTTCATCTGTTTTTGTTCATTTCTATTTACTGCTTTTTAATGTGTAATAATTCTTCAACGAAGTTATGAAATGAATTCACTCGTAATTAATATATAAGAAGAGAATAAAAACTAGATGATTTTATTGGTAACGACACTTGAAATCAACTGATTAAAAAATTATTTCAAAATGATTGAATATCTGAATAAGTCAAATATCGATTGTATCGTCAGATACAAAAAAAAAGTAATAATTCATACTCAAAATATTTTGTTCTTAAAGTAACCATACGAAATCAACTCAAAAACGACTTTGTGCTCGCTGCGAAATTTGAAAAACATATCTGAATCAACTTCCACTGAGTAAGAAATCATGAAAAAGATTAAAATTTTGTTAAAAAAAATAGTTTCGTATCCTTGAAAATCAATTTTTCGTCAAGGTACTAGATCTTGAAACTTTTAAAAATAATAATAATAGACATTCAGATATCGTAGGTCGAAATTCGAATAATCTCAGTGACTGAAAAAACTGATGAAAGACAATAGATTTGCTGCTTTTTGAGTTTTAATCATAAAGATTTTTTTGTCTAATTTGATTTTGAAAATACAAGAGAGCCGACTAAAATATGAAAATTAATCAATGTAGTATGCGATTAGTACTTTTTTAGCTTGTGAAATCCGAGAGAGAAATGGCGAATTAATATAGCTCATATATCATTTTGTAGAGCATGAAAAATGGCATCAATCTTTACTATTAGTTTTTATATCAAACGCATGAAACAAAAATTTTGTTTACCGTGATTATTTTTTGAAACAAAAAATCAGTAGATCGGTCAAAGATTAATTAGTCTGAACATTTGTTTTTGATCATATAAAAATTAATAAAAAATATATATACATGTGCAAAATTTCATGCTCTATCTTGCTAGAGTATTGAGAGCGAAATCTAGAGGAGCGGCATATTTACTATCTTATCGGGCGGTATCCTTTCTTTCTCTTACAAATTTTCTCGCTATTTTTTATGATCTAATTATACTTTTAAGTTTCTCTCAATGAACAAAACCATAATCAGTACAGGAAAGTCAAAGTGTATCTGATTGAAAAAGAGCATAAGAACGGTTTTTTTTTCTTTTTATCTCTAACGATTTAGTGTTCAATATTGTATTGATCATTTGCAACAACTTGTTTTGTTGCTTCACATACACTTGTACTCATATATTTCATCTTGTATTCGCTTTGTTTCGCATCGAATTCCACGACGAATTCATCAATATCGAGTTAGTTGTCCTTATAGACTACGAAATCTGGCTTTCATCTTATAATAATAACATGATGACACGTTGCTATTCTAAATATCTTCTGTGTAGATATACGTATAGGAATAAAAAATGATTTCTTATCATAAATGTGTTTAGTTTAAACTCGTGTGTTAATATATCAATCGAAGAGTAAATCTGAATGAAAGAAACAATTATATCGTAAAGAAAAGATATTTTTCTCATTGTTTACTGTTTTTAATCAAAAATAATTAATCTAGCAAAATCCAATATAAATATGTGTTAGCTAGAAACAAATTAAGATTTGGCAAAACAGAACATTTGGCAATTATGCTTAAGCATTTTTTCAATTCAATGCATGACTAATTGCATTTGTATGAAATAAAGGTTAGGTATTCTTCATTTCAGTTTTTTTATTTTTAGTTGGGGTTTATTAGCATTTGTATAATTGGCTGTAGATTCTCACTTGATATATTTGAATTTACAATCGAGCAAGTTTAAACAGCAAAAAAACAAGAGATAATCAATACGATGATAATCATATTGAATTAAAATACGTCGACCATATATACTTGTGATTAACAATTCATAGTCCATATAATCTCAAGGAATCCTTAACTATAAATACTTTTTTACGCCATGAAATATACTTTCACGAGTAGAAAAATTCAAGCGAAATACTCAAATGTTTTTTTCGTTGTATTATACTAACACTGTTCCAAATAAGTAAAGATGGTATATAAAAGAGAGAAAAATTAACTTCTATCAATCACTGAACTGTTTCATTTTTGAACTATACGTAACTTTTATTCTCATCTCGAAAAGAATATGTCTCGATTAAAAACTTTATTATATTGATTTCAAGTGACGACTTATTTATTCATAGTTGTCTTTTGTCAAGAAAAATTTAGTTTTACTCTGAGACTATTTACGTATGCATATTTATATATTATCTTGTGAAAAGTAGAAAAATACGTTGCTTGGTATTCTTACGTATGTATCAATATATTGTCAAATGGATTTTCAACAAGCGTAAAAGTTTTCTCTTCGACCACAAAAGCATTAGCAACATATATTACTGTTCATATACGATTTTCTAGGCAATAATAAGATAATTTCATATCTTTTCAAACTTCTAACAATAATGTATCCCTAATATACCAATAAGCATATGATTTCTTTCGAATTCGTTATTTTGCTGAAGTGAATCTATTTTGTGTTCTGAATGGAATTTAAAATTCATCTTCTTTGTGTTTTTTTCTTAGTAAATGGTGACCAAATAGCTTTCTTCATATCTGCATGTTTTATCCTATAATTCAATAGAAATGTCTTTGAATCATGGTAAGTAAGAAACTTCTTGAATTTACTCCTCAGTTCTTTTTCAGATACGAAATTTATTTGATTTTCATTTCTATACATTATCTCTAATGGATATTTACGAGAGTTAATCTCATGAGAAAACAAGCTCAATTAGTCACAAGTATTCATTACAGTGTAGAATTTTTGTAGTTTTTGACTTTTGGTACATTGAGCATTAGGTTTTCATCATTCAACTTGTATATTATCAAATTACAAGTATCGAATTCAGACATCAAAATGTTCATTTTTGCTTCAAAGTTACTTTTCCATCTATGATACATCGAGTGTTATAATAACGAACATTTTTCTCAGCGACTCGCAAACTACTACTTTCTTGCACATTTCTCATTAAGAAAAAATCTTCCTTACTGATTATAAACAGTTGATTGTATCGAAAAAGGCTAATTTAACTCACTTTCTTCATCGCAGCCAAAACTGATAGCCCAAGTTGCATGCTTTCATGGTACACGAGTGCTGCTCTGGCAAGTCGATGTGTTCACCAACCCGCACGTTTTCGTCATCGCAACATGTATTTGATCAATAATGATCATTTACCTCTTGGTAAGTTTGTAATAAGCAACATTCCTGGTAGTCATGAAAGATAAGAATTTTTCTGGGTGAGAAATATTCATAGTAATAAATTGTTGTCTTTTCGAACGCTGCCCTCTACTAGCACATAGTGTTTAGAAATAAGCAGAAGGTTAGGTTCTATGAGAAAGGAAAGTATTTGAATTTCTTATTTGGAAACGTTTTCGCTATGCGACACTTGACGGGAGTAATGATATCAAATTTGCATTACTTTCATTGGTGTGTTCGTTGATAGGATATTTAGTTTTTATTGTTTTTGAGATCAATTGAATAAGTCACGTGTACCTAGATGCATAAAATTTATGCAATACTTTTAGAAAGAATTGTTTCATGATAACGTTTTTGTGTACAATAATTTCATAATTTTTCCTTCAAGTTTATAACTTAATCGCATTTATCCAAGCAAGTGTTACTGATTAAAATAAATTAGATGATGGTCAAGACACATGTGTGAACCTAGGTTATCATGTAATCTATGTAGTGAAACAGAAAAACATTCTCTACATACGAATAAGCTACAGGAAAATATATGACTTGTCGATTAGCAAAACGAGGAAAATTCTTGAGTTTCGTAAATCTATATTGGTGATGTTCTCTTTCAATAGCAAAACCGAACCTGACCATGAACACAAAAACTTTACAATCAAGTTTTCATCGTACAACTGGCATATTATTGAAAACGCATCTCCATGAAGAAATATGAGCTGATCTATTTATTGACTCATTCAAAATTCATAATTTTTGACAAAAAATTGTCACAAGTCTGAAATTACCGATGTTGTTTATGAACATTGATTCCTTTACATATCTCATACAATTCATTCAGATGACCGAGTCCACCTTCTATGTCGCCTCAACAATGTCTGATGCACTCAACGGGTATCTTAATGTTCTCAAAGTCTTTGTTTATTTTTGAATGCTGTTGCTCTGGTCGACGTCGCCGAAGAAATAATGAAATTGAAATTGAAATTGAAACTGAATACAAAGGTCTACAAGACCAGAAAAACATAGAAGTATATATCATTTGATGGTATTTGATAATTGAAGAGAACTTTTCTATAGTGAATCTCAAAATAAAAGTGGGCAAATTTGATCGGCTGACGTAATCTGTAATAGGCTCCATGAAAATGAAAGCGCTCTAATAGGAGCTGCTTTTCTCGTCAATACTTTCTCATATTGATAGGAATAACATTTTATTTTCATGCTAATTACTTTCATAACCGTCTTTGTTCTGATTTACTTCGCTTGTAATTATATCATGGAAGGAAAACTTATAGATAATTTACACTTCGATTCTTAACTAAGTAAAACTTTTATCTACAACATTTCATTGACCGTAACGCAACAAATTAAAATAACAAAATGAAGAAAATTAAATAACTTAATATTTGATTAAAAAACCTTCTTGAAGAAATGAAGTAAAACTTCAAAATCATTTGTGTGTATACTTGAAGTGTGAATCTGTAGACATACGTATAGCATGAATGGTTTTTTGATCAAAATACGGTTTCGCTATTTAACTATTAGATTTTTCTGACGAAGAATGTATCATATCTCGTATTCCATAAACTTTGTTTCTCTGTCTTCACTTACGATAACATTTTATTCATAGCAAAACATCGATCTGTTCGATACGAATGTCATAAGTGTGTATGCTAAATCAAACTAGAGCGTATTATTTTTGTTTTTTTCTATGAGGACAAAGCAATAGAGCTACTAGTGTGTAGGTGGACAGACATTCACGGCCGACGCTCTGAGTATTTGTTTTGAATAGGCTTTTTGTTTGTCTATTGGATTACATCTTATAATAATCTATTCAAACTTTAAAATATGTCATTGTGAAGAGTGCACTTACAATCTTTTTCCAAACAATATGTTATATAGATTCATTAGAAATTCATTAGAAATTCAAAACTTTTATCATATCAATCAAAACATCATGCAATAAAATTCAATATCTTTGATAATAATCGTAGATATTATACCTTCAGATTATTTTTTATTTTTCGTTATCAAAATATTGTGTTAGGGTGTGGATGTCTGTTCTCTGTATGTGTAAAATATTGAAAAGTTTTATACAATCAATATATTCTTTTCCTTTAAAGCTTTTTTAAGGGCTTTCTTCCTTGAAAGTGTAACAACAATAATTATTAAACTATATCAAGGTACAGAAGAATTAAAAGAAATGAAACAAAAATTATTGATGACTTTATAAAACATCATCGTATTAATAAACAACTTGCTAAGCAAATGCTAGAATCATTTGATCATAAAAGGAAAAATACCAAAGGAATCGATATGAATAGTATATTGAAAGCATTTCTAGAATGTAGTATTCAAGCTGATATACATGTACATATACCTGGATATAAATAGTTAGGTTTTATTGTAAAATAGACGAGATCATACAGGATTGTTATTCTTGAATCAAATAGTCGTATGTGGTCATGTAAGACAAATCACTCACATGTAATTATCAAAATTTTAGGTGCATGTCAATGCAAAACTTTTTTCTCAGGGCTAATACCAAAATAATCATGCAACATACCTATGGAAAACATTTAACGTTTTGCAATCGATATAACGAGCAAGTCCGTCATAAAAATCATCATTGGATTATAAGCTTGAGAATAATTCAACCAAGTTCCATGTAAACATGTATTGAGTCATTTGATACTTCAACGTTGCGTCTGCAAGTTGATTTGGCATACAAAGTAGTATTTTTGTCTGAAAGCAATTATTGCTATTTAGTTTGTTCTTATTCTTCAAAAGCTGATGATTCATCAGTTAAAATTCTTGTAAACTATTCCGAATATCACCTAATGTATGACGAAGATTTTTACATTTTATTCGTGTATGTTTAATCAAATTTTATAACCAATACTGATGCGTGTTTCAGCGTCAGACATTGTTAATTTACTATTTACCGCTTGTTAGACAATAAGGTCTGCTTGAATTTAATGTTACTATTACACGAAGTGACGATTTTGAATCAAGAATCAGAAGATCAGAATCTGGAAAATATCAAATTAATAAAAACAGCAAATATGACAAGAATATGGTTTCCTAAGTATTTGTTACATCAAGATGGGTAAGACATCATTCAGAAATCATGTGATAAAATGCACAATAGAAACTCGAACAGCATTTATCTTCTCATTAAGGATCTGTCGCAATCAACTAAGTCATTATCACCATCAATTTATGCATTAGTTCATATTTTTACTTTCAGCATAATACTTCGCTATATTGAGAAGAGTTTTATATGTAGATTGACAACAAAGATTGTCATATGGTAATGTCTCTGTGACTCAATCTTAATCTTCGCGTTGAAATTGCTCAATGCTCTCTCTTTCCTTGTAGGAAAGAATATCTGGCAATTATAAATTGATAAGTCACAAAACTAAAACATAGAAGAAAATTGAATGATGTAAAACAATACATGTTGAACCTTGGTTAATTCAAACAAAAGTATGTCTTATAACTGATCAATTAGGTACTTTTTCACAATAATGGTGCAAGACTATCGATCAATAGATAATATATTAACACTAATGAAGACACATCTTCTCGAAATCAGAAATATTCTTGTTCAGTCTTCAAAACATGTCTATTTTTCTCCACAATCTGTTTTGAAGACAGCCAGCAATATAAATCAAAGTTACGTTGGGAGTTTTCTAATCTTCAATGAGTGGTGTCACATATCCAAGATTTTGGAGATGCCGCGCCTCCCGCTGGAGACGTGACACCCACAGTCGGAAGATCCGGCCATTCACCACTGGAGATGTAAGATCTCCTTTAGAGATGCGCATCCCCCACACCCACACCCACATCTCTCGCGCGAGATGCGGCATCTCCAAAATTTTGGATATGTGACACTGCTGATTGAATGACACTATTAGGTATTGTCGTACTACAAAGTCGTTGTAAATATTCAATAATATCTTTTGTTTGTATACCAATAGATGCAGCGGCTTATAGTGAATATGATGTTAGTTAATTTATATTCGTGAATTAATTCTGGTCGAGAAATAGACTCAGCTATAGCAATTAAAAAATCATGAGCATGTTTTTACATCGATGAAAATGCTTTAACAAAAGTTTCATTACTTATTTCTCTAGTACTTGACTGATATGTATCTTTTAAACGTTGAGATGCAGCTCGTTTACTCATATTTTGTTGCAGGAATATAAATATTCTGAATTATTGCGTAATCCGATGCTTAATAACTCAATTCGGTACTTGTAATGTACTTTTTCATGCAATGAAAATCTTCTTGGAACATTCAAAGATACTCTAGAATAAAAAACAGTGAAAATCGATTCCATTGATTAAAAAAAAAATTTTTCATCAAAATAAAGGCATCATTTTGAGTTTTAAAGTCGTTGAATTTCTTGACAAGATTCAATCAAGAAGATTTACTAACAATGCTAATCAGATTTCCAAATGATAGAAGATCGAGAACAAACTACTAAGTTATAGATTTAATGGAGATCGTTGAGTTCTATTCAAAAAAAACGAAAACAACTTTGTTGAAATATTGTCCTAGATTTCTCTCAAGAAATATTTAAATCTCAGTCAAAGATATCCGAAGTATTTTATACGAAGAATTTATAGATATGATATTGATTTATTTCGTTCACAATAATATAACCATTGAGGACAATGTTATAATAAATAAATTTAGAGTTGAACTACATTGATCTGATCTATTTCAATGGAATATTAGAAATTGATTAAAATTTAAATAAAAGAATCAAATTAAAATAGTTTGGTTTAAAATTTTATTTATCTATTCATTTGCAATATGTTGCTTCTATGGCTAAAATGTAAATCATCACTAATTTTTATTTTTATTCTTTTTTTGTCTCATTAAAAGAGTTTCGAGTCTTTGATTCTTCATTTCAATCTAAGCAAAAACAAATGTTTTAGAAGGAATTATTATTCTGAATTAATTTTTCGATGCACAAAAATACAAATGAAAAACGAGATTCATTTATGATTATTAATTTTTAATTGAGTCGCTTAATATTTTTTTTAAAATATGATTCGATTTTCATTCTGGGCAATCTGTTATTAATCATTGAATAAATAATTGTCTGCTCATATTATTGATTGAATAAATAAATAAGACAGTCATGTTTCGTTTTAGAGTATTGAAAAGAAATCGAGGGAGATTAATATATGCGATCTATTCACGGTTATCTGATCCTCAAGGAGACAACAACAACAACAACAGCGATTCAATTTATTTAGAAAAAAAAGAATATTTCCTTTTATGATAGACAACGAAAATGTTTTTTGATTAATTAATTATTTTTCAATAATCAAAATGAAACAAAAATTAATAAATAGAGAATAAATAGTAAAAATAATATATATTTGTTTGTATAACTATTGAAAACGAAAACGTGATGTATTCCCTGTCAATAAAAAAAATACTTTTGTCCTTACCTTTGTCAATATTTATATGAAGGTACAGAAAAATAGAAACGAAACAGATCCGGATCAACCGATTAAGTAGAATATAATCGACAAGACAAAAAATGTTTTTATTTCCAAAATCTGGTCTTGGACGATTTCTTTTATTAGTTATTATAATATCAACACTATCTTATATGGTACTTAACATAGTTTCGTTTGCCGGAACTCCATGGATAACTACTAATGTTGAAAACATTCAGTTTGGCCTTTGGAAAGTTTGTGATAAATCAACAAACGGATCTTGTAACCAATGGTCTGATAGAGTATATAATACAAATACTACGAGAAATACTTTTTCAAGAGGAAAACCAAGTAAATAAATATTTATTTGGAAACGAATTTATCTTTTAATTCATACTATAAACAGGTTATATTCGAACAAGTCAAGCATTAGAAATAATATCTTTAATATTTTATGCATTTGCTGCTGCTCTTATTATAATTGGAATAATTAATTCAGATGGATTACCATATATTTTTATGTTTCTTGGTGCTGCTGCACTTTTGTTCGTTGCAAGTATGTTTAAATCGATGAATGGATTTAAAAAGCAAGCGAACAATTTCTGTTGTTATTTTCTTCTTAGTGGTATTTCTCTCAGCAACATTAGGTGTAATGTCTGTTCAAGGTCGTTCGAATCGTATATCAGCATTTCTTGACTGGGCATGGTGGAATGGGATGGTTGGTCTTATTATGACTATAATCTGTTTTTTCGCATTAATTGCTTTAATTCTTGATATGAAATTCTCTTCAGTAAATCGACAAATACCAAAATTGAAAAGGTTATTTAAAAAGCAAGCAATTTTTCAATGTTTTATTTTATACTTTTCTTTTCATTTAAGAAAACCAAAGCAAACAGATATATTTGTTGCTCAACAAACTGTGCCATATCCTATGTCAATGCCAGTAACATTACCACCAATAATAGCACCAAATACATTCGTAACTCCACCAATGAGCTATGAAAATTATCACGGATACAATTATCAAAATACAAATAATTATTTTTCTTTACCTGAAAATAATCTTCCAGTAGTTTATAATAATTTTCCGATTGCTGATAATAATTATCCTACAGTTGATAATAATTTAAATGGATATTTTTTAAATCCTCCATTAACATACGGAGGAGGTCAATATCCATGGGATGAATATTCGAATAATCAAACTCCATCACCGATGATCTCAAATTTAGCTCGAGAATGTGTGTTACGTGCGTCCGATGCTCAATATGAAAGAGATTTACTTGGAACATATGGACAATCTGTTCAACCGTCGTATTATACGAATACTTATCTTTAGAGAAAAAAAGAGAACAAATTTAAATGATCATATTGATCTTTTTTTTTATTTTGCTTTATTTAGTTCTTCTTTATCCCTCTTTCTATGTTTACAATGGCATGAGTAGCTGTCTAATTTGAAATCGAATATAAATGAAAATTTTAAAAATAAAATCATCAACATTTTCAATAAAATCTGAAATCAAAGTTATACAAACTCTGAATCTGCGATAGAATAGATTCATTTAAATGCGATTCGAATAATAACTCGAATTGAGGGATTACCATTTCAAAAGTTAAAAAGGAAAGTTCGAGTAGAAGTTTCATGTCAAAATATATTTTATAAATGTGATAAAAATTTATGCACGAGTAGAGGTAATTGTAATATCCTCAACAGGTAGTATCCTTGAAATCCTTTTTGAGGATCCTTACCAGCAGACCCCATTAAGTCCAAGATTTTTGGATCCCGAACTGGATCCTTTCGAATCACCGTGTTATACTGTTAATAAAATATTCTAAACGGAATTTGATAGTCACTTTGAGAATAAGGCACGCTTCTTCTGCGGTTTCGTCGTTAATGATGAACACACGCATACATTTCTAAGGCCACCTTCAATGTTAGAGTTCACCGAGTTCAAGATATCAATGTTAAATTAGTTCGAAAGAGACATGAATGGAAGGAATTCATTTCTTATCTGAAAACTTAATAAGCACTCCTAAAAGTTGACGAGTTTGGGTTATATCAATGCATTTTTTGAAATCATGAACCTTCACTTGTTTTCTTATCATCTGATTACAATTGATATATCTCATCAAATTTATTTACCATCTGAAAACAAGAAGAATAGATCGAATGTTCATAGCACGATCTACAATGCAGACATTACTATAGTAGAAATACGCGCGATAACACATAAGAAAGACATCAGATATGGCAATATTAATCGATCGGTAGTCATGGGTATACTTCAAATAACAAGAGATTTCTTAAATAAAAATAAACCAACATTAACTTCAATCTTACAATGAAATTTGTTCGTTTATCTTTTAATTTTAAGATAAAAATAGTAGAAATAAACTAAATGAAATAATATATAATTATTAAAAGTAACAAAAAAATGTTCTAATATTTTACTTACAATCTTTTATTAAGAAGAAGAAACGACAATTAGATCTGAAATAAGTTAAAATTTTCATTAACTATTCGCGAGAAAAATAGATACAAAAAAAAGCTTTTGAATATTGTATTGAAAAATGATTTAATTTTGTTTAAAATTAAAGTTTCAATCGATATCAAAACTCGAGGATTAATGATAACTCGTTTATGTGATTATATTAATTAATATAATAATTAAAAATAAAATCATCATAAATATTGAATTTTTTTCTCGAATTATAACAATCAATATATTATATGTGTTCTATAATATGAGATCGATAAACGAAGAAAAACTTTATAAATAAACCAAACTACGTTATAACATTTTTCTTTTATATAAAAAACAAACTCTGATTTCAAATTTTTTCTATTATGAATCTATATAAAAGATTAGAATAGAAAAAGAATGAATTATGGTCGATAGATTAATAATTGAAATGTCATATTACATGAAATTGAATAAAAAAATAATTTATCAAAAATTTTATCATTTTATTTCACCAAATAGTCAACAATCAATAATGGTCGAGTTATTATTTATTAAAATTCAAATGAAATATTCAACCAATAAGAAAAATCTTCTTCTTAATAAAATTTTTATTTCTTTGAAATGAAAAGAGAAAAAGAAAATTTGATTCAACTGACTTTGTCTTCTACAGTAGTTTTTTTTAATATTAATGTCATATTGATTGAATGAAATATTTCCAATTTTTCTAAAAAAAGAACCAAAGAAAACAAAAATCATCTGTATCCATTTGTTAAATAAATAAATATTTTTAGTTTTATTCTTTAATTGAATTGCATTTGTTTCTATACGTTTTTTTTCATTCCTTTCAAGTTTAAAACAATTTTGTTTGACGTTTTTTCGTTTCCTAAGAAATATTTGTTTTTATGTAGCTGTGAAGAAAAAAGTTAAAAAGTTTGAATTTTTTGTTTTCTCTTTGTTTCAGTTGGATCATCAAAGAGAAAAGAAAAATTAATTGGCAAAAATCAAAAGCAATGTCATGGGAAATGCAATTAGATCAAAGTTTATTAGAAGATTTATATCTATGGATTGATAGTCTTTCTTTATCCAGACCAAAACAAAGAATTGAAAGAGACTTTTCTGATGGTAAACCTTTTTTTTCTTCAATTCTATTTATTAAAAGTCTATTTTTATACGTAAAGGTGTACTAGTTGCGGAAATAGTTCATTATTATTTACCAGAATTTATAGATTTACATAATTATACACCAGCAAACTCTTTGGGACATAAAAGATCAAATTGGCAAACGTTAAATAAAAAATTTTTATCAAATTTAGGTCTTGATTTATCAGATGTTATAATAAATGGCCTTTCAAATGGTAAACCAGGTCTTATTGAAGTTCTTCTTTTTAATTTAAGATTAAAAATAGATGAACAATTAGAATTAAAAGAAAAATCTCAACAACAATCATTACTATCATCTATCGATGATAAAACAAAATCTTATGCAAAAGGAAAATTGATTAATAATTCATTTAAACCTACCAATAAAAATATTTCAAATCTTAATTATGAAGAAATAAAACAAGTTTATTTTAATCAAGAAGAACAGATTGAAATTCTTCAAGCAAAAGTTCGTCGACTTGAACATGTTTTAAAATTAAAAGATATTAGAATTAATCAATTATCATCTTCTTGATCAACAAAGAGAAGAAATAATTGGAATGGCTTCATTGTATAACAATTTGATTTTAACAAATAAATTTTTTCTCTTCTTTTTAAAAATATTTCATCAATAATAATATTGAAGTTTTTGTAGAAAATAGTTTTTGTTTTTAAAACTTTAATCAATTATTTACAGGCAAGAGAAATTTGAAATTGAATTTCATCGTGATTTTCAAATTTATAAAACTTTCCAAATGATTTAAAATAAAATGTTTATTTAATTAACAGAATATTTTTGCAAGAATATATATATCAATGAACTTTTCATAAATCATATTTTAAAAAGACCAATCATACATAAATAGTTTTGTGCTACTTGTTCTTGAAATCATGGCAATGCTAAAAATCGATTTTGCACAACATTTCAATAGGATATTTTTTTTATCGAGTGACTCGTCTAGGAGTGGTATTTTAACTTTGAAATTATAAAATAAAAGTAGTTCAAGTTTAAAATAGCCTTATTTCTACTTTAATTTGAAGTGAAAATAATATTCACTTGCGTCATCAACTTAATCATGCCATAAATTGTGGTTACCAAGCAGCTAGACAATCTACTCTGAATTAATCATCAAGAATTTTTATTTATTTATTTGAAAAAATAAGATTCCATATTTAATTATCTAAATTAGATTTCTTTACAGGCTTATTAATTTCCTGTTCAATACTAAATAGAGTTTATCAAGTCGAAATAGATTTTAATAATATGATAAATCAGAAAAAAGAAAATGCTATTTTATTTTTGATTACGAACGAAAACATTGAATAGAGTCACGCTCTTAACACCACACGATAAAAAACAAATTGAACGTGTGATTGAAAATTTAGAAGTCTGAATTGATTTAAAAGAAATTAAGTTGCCGATTTCTTTCGTTCGCTTTTTTTGCCTATGTTTATTCTATTATTATAGAAGATTTTATTTCATAAATAGAATAGACATTCTCAAATATATAAAATAATTAAATTGATTCTGTTTTAGTTCAATAAAACATCGATTGGGTTATCAAATTTAATCCTTCCAAAACATTTTATTGATTTTCCTAAGATAAACTAAAATAAAATAAAACTGGCAAAATCATTCAGTGACTTAATATCAGAGAAATAAAGACGAAACGATTCATTTTTCTCAGTTGCTGTAAGCTGTCACATAAAAAGGATTCTTTTTTTTGTGATAGTTAACTTTTCAGTATTCGAGTCTGCAAAATATGATCCAAATTTAAGAAACTAGTTTTATATGATAAATTTGAGCAATTATATAATTTAAATAGTATGTTTTAAATCTAAATTCTTAATAATTTGTTTCTTATACTTGAGTAATTCAATTCCAGTCTTTTTTTAATATTTGCCATTAATAAATTAATTATAGTTAACAAAATTGAATTAAATAAATGATCGTTTGTTAAATAAAATAAAATATGATAAGGTCTATAATATTATTTATAGAAGCACACTTAGAGTATGTGAGCCAAAAATAATTATCTCATTAGATTATTCGTTTTTTATTCGTCTTTTCTTTCTGATTTATTTGACCGATTTTTATTTGGTTGAATAAACAAATAATTGCATATTCTACTATTCAAAGGTAATACGAGTTAAATGGTATAAATATGAATCATTTTTAAGGTGCAAAAAAGTCATTTGAATAGAAAATAAGACACGATTTCCGATTCATAAATGAGATATTTATCTGGAATTTTCTATATTTTGATCAAAGAGGAAAATAAGTAAAAGACGTATAAATGACGATATTGGTTTCGGTTGATTGATATTGTAAACGTCGTAAGTTACCTATTTATATACTCAACGTTTTACTCAGTAAAAACTAAGTTCTATTGAAAATTTATAACTAAATGGCTGAACAAACTACAATTAATGGTCAATTTGATCGTGCTGATATAAATCATGATGGAACAATTGATGAACAAGAATTTCGACAATTTCTTGGACCTGTTAGAGATGAAAGACGGTTTTCTGGAAATATATCTCAGCAAGATATTCAACAAATTCAAGTTTGGTTCTGTTTTTTCGATCATCTAAATGAAATTATTTCTTTTTTGAAAATAGTCTCAATCATCTCATGCAACTCAAACAGTAACATATCCAGTTGGTCTTGATGTAGCTTTAGCTGGCTTTGCTGGAAATCCAATAGATTATGAAAAATTTACGGGCGGTTCTGATTCAAGAGAAGCTCATGTCTATGGTGTTGGTCCTGATGTTGGCATAGGTGCACCAAATATTGCTAGAAAAAGTCATCAATATGATCCTGCTGGTGCTATGTTTGATTATGCTGATGTGAATCATGATGGAAAAATTGATCATCAGGAATTTGGCACATTTATGCGCTTTGTGTAAATTTAAACATTCTATTCAAATTAATTCTGCGTTTTATTATTTTTTTTCTATGGCTACTTTTAATACCTATACAGTAAAATAAACATACAAAATGTATTTTAAATTTGATAGATTTTTGTTGTCTATCGAATAACATACCAACGTAGCATTTCTTAAGTTTGGAATGAGGAAAGATATTAAAATTAGGAGTGGTACATTTACTTTGTTTTTGCTGTAAGTAAATCCAGTAAATATTTTATTTACCTATCTACTGGTAACGTAAAGGTAAAGTATCACTCCTAATTAGAATAATGTTAGGTCAATAGAGAATTTAACAATTTCTATCGATTTTATCAATCAAAAGTCTTTTTATGAATGAAAAATATTCTAATTACGAAGAAAAAGACTTTAAAAAATTCAGTTTAGAGATTATCTCTCGTGTTTCTTGGGTATGATGGAAAAAGGAAGAAAGGAAAAATATCGAAAGCAAAATTAATACAAATGTAGATGGATAGAAATGCTGAAAACGAGAGTATTTTGAAGTACAAGTCTCCCTCAACCTCAATTCAATCTTGCATGGTCATTTTCACCTCATATTCTTGTTTTCGACATTTTTATTTTCGATATTTTTCCCTTTCGACATTTTTCTTTTCTTCCTTTTTCCATCCATTCGTTTCTTGTATGAACTTCTGCCCTAACGAACGACAAGACGGAATAAAAATCTACGCATTTCTATTCTTTTAGCTGATATAACAATAGAAATAAGCGTCCTCATTTTCCATTAGTATGATCAAAATAAATATTACTTTATTATTTATCTCATAGCTAATGCATTCTATATCAGTTTCAAATAAAACGAGTAGAGTTTGAATCAACACATAAATTATGAATAAGTTAAGTTATCAAAAAATCTTGCTCCATTATATAAATTCTTAAACATCAAATAGATTTTGTCTTAAGACAGAATGAATCTGATTGTAAACTTAGATATTTTAGATCCTCAGTATGCTCATATTTAAGTTAAAAACAATTAATATTTTCTCCATGATGAGTTAGGGAATTGATTTTTGTCCGAATATTGAGTCGTATAGAAATAAGTAGAGTTTACAATCATAAAAGTATGTTGAAATTTTCAGACAATATATCGATAGTTTATTGTTGAAATATTTGATAAAAAATGAAATGATCAAATTTCATAGAAAGTCTGACAGAATTGACTATTCTTCGAGATATGAAATTTCAAAAGAGGAATCATCCATTTTAGATGAAAGTGTTCCGAGCAGAGGTGCAGAATCTACCCGTGTGCGCGTACGACCGTGTGGGGAAAATTTTGCAAACCTAAGCATCAGGGGAAATTCTTGGAAAAATATTTTCTCTTCTAAGCGTGCAGGGGCAAGTATTTTTCCAAATGAATCTTGTTTTATTTATACGTGCATCGATCATATCATGCATCTTTCTTCTTTTATTTTATGTAAATTTTGAAAGAATCATCCATTTCTTACTCACGATTTCAGTATATTCTTCTTTGTTTGGCGCTGATGATGCGTCGCACTACTGTTTATCTTTCGCTCTTTCTTTGGAGTAAC